ATTGCTTTTACAAATAATGTTAATCACTTGGCTTCATGTTCCTTATTAGTTATTTTTCAGTAACCTATAACAATAACGGTACCTATCCACTATGCTGCGAATATATCATTTTCTTTACTTTTAATTGGATGTCTTGATGCATAAGGGAACCAAGCGACACAGATGAGAAATTAAGAGTCAATGTTTATCGTAGGTCCTAAATTATTTAAAATTTAACAACAATTGTCCTTTGGTTTTTAATAAGTGTAAAAAATCAAGAATAAAAAAATTCATATATGAATAAAAATTTTTAATATGCATAAGTTTAATTTTAATAACAATTATTAGACACATTAAGCAATATTTACTAATGAAAATAAACGTATATTTTTTTAAAGCTATAAAGGATATTTAAGACAAGCATTAAAACATAGTTCGAAACCGGAATAATAAAGTAGAAAGAAAATTTAAAATACCAAACTTTATTGATTACATGAATGATATTTATTCTGTGTGTAGTTTAATCAAGGCAGTTGTCGTATTAATACATCTATTAAAAAAAATATATCATATAACCAATCCCACTGTCATCTTTCATTCATATTCCGGTTAGAATACACAGCCAGTGATGCGTCCCAGTCTTATCTGATAAAATTATCTATGTTGTATTCTTTTTAAACCATTATTGTATAATATTCACATTATTCACCATAAAGTAATTATTGTATCAAATATCAAAAGATTAAACATGACAAGGGTCTATTCTTGCATTTATTACAAATAACGTAAATTTATGTTAAATTCAGATTTAAATTTTTTAATAGATTTTTTTATTAATTCAAAATAAAAATAAAAGATTAAAGTAAAGAGCATTTATTCTCAGCCTAGTGTATTGGTATCGTTATTATTGCAGGATTTTAAGGCAGTTTTTAACGGCAAGGCACAATGAAAATCTTTAACAATGAAAAGATAAATTACCCTGTTCAATTAAAATATCTTATTATAGGTTATTTAATTATTATAGTAGGAATTTTGCAGACATTTGCCATAGCCAATTATTACAAACAAAGTAAAATAAATGTCTGCAAAATTCCAAGTAATAAGGTATAATTGCCATCACTAGCATCAAGTCTTTTAAAAACCATTAAAAAACTCGAATTTTGCTTTAATTCATCCAAAATCAAACAAAATTTGTATGTAAAGAACATTAATTCTGAGCCTAATGGATTAGTACCGTTATTATTGCGGGACTTTGGGGAAATTAAGACCATTAAAATTAACCTGTTCAATTGTAAATATGTAAATAAAATCAAAATTCTTTGTCAAGAATATATCATAACAATAGTTACAGGTAAATATTAAATATCTTATTATCCCTTTAATTAATTATTATAGCAGTATTTTTGCGGACATTTGCCATAACTGGTTAGTAAAGACAAAGTAATGATAAATGTCTGCAAAATTCCAAGTAATAAGGTATAATTGCCATCACTAGCATCAAGTTTTTTAAAAACCATAATTGATAATTAATTGGTTCCTGCAGATCAAAAACCAATAAACTTAGCATTGATCATATAAGAAGTATTTAGTGAATGTGATCAAATATTATCGTTCATCATAAAATGCATTGTTGTATAAAATTACACATCATACAACGTTTTCCACATATTTGACTGCGAATTCGGCAGTGGTTAGCGGATGATTGTTGTAGGTCGGCCGCGGTGCCATGCCGCCACGGCCCTACGCGCTGCGCACACTGGTGCATTCAATCTCTTATTATTGGCGTGATTGTTGGCCTAATATCACAAAAGTCATATGTATATTGTTTGAAATTTAAAGCTCTTCATTTTACTAACTGGGTTGTATATACCTAATTTATGTATTAACGGAGTAAAATCAGAAAAAAATGAACTAGACACATTTGAAATAACAAAAATCGTATTTAAGCTACAATTATTATATATTAAAACTATGAAATACCAATAAATGTGTTATTTTCTTGAAGTAAACTTTCTTTAGAGTAGTTTGAGCTTCATACGATTATTTTAAGTAGAATAAATCTGTAGTTATAACATTTTCCGTAAAACCTTGCAAGTTTGATTTGTCTCGCCGCCATTTTCTAAGATGGCGGATTTTGCTGAAGTGGGATTTTTTGGGAATTCTCAGGAAATGTTAAGGAGTGTGTCCCAAACACATTCCAGAAGAGTTTACCTTTGAACTAATTTGTTCTAGGTTAGGGTCTTTTTTTGCATAACTGTCCTGTACTACTAGGCCTGTGAGGCTCACTCACCTGAGGTGCTGGAAGTTCTAGAGATAGGGTAGGCCTACAATTGGAAATTTCATTTCTTGCCTGTTCAACATCAGTAATTGAAGTATCACTATCAAAGTCTTCAGGTCCAGGATTCCAGATTTCCCCACTTCCAGATGAAAAATCAAGAAGAGATTCATCAGAGCTTTCATAATTTTCACATACACCATTCTGACCAATGTCACTATCAGGATCGTCGGCATCACTTTCAAGATCTTCTAAGTCATCAAAAGCGTTCAACGCATATCGAATAGCACTAGAATTGCTTAGTTCACTCATTTATAAATAATTTTTCTATTATAATGTTCTAATAAAACAAAAACACTATATAGGATTGTAAAACAGTCGTACACAACAACAAAACAGACAACAGTCAATGCCGGCAGACGACAGCTGACCAACGGCAACAATCCACAAAATCCAAAGACTTATAAAACAGATAATATTCGTTTTTGGATTGCCGACTGCCTTCTAAATATAAACTGACTGTTTCTCTTCAGTACTATATGAAAACTATTAAAATCGGGCGACGATTATTGATTTTCTGGCTGTAATAGTGACGCGCTGCAAAAGGTATCGCGATCGCGACTTTAGCGTTTTAAATAGGGTTAAAATAGTCGCGATCGCGACTCATAGCGGATAGAGGGTTAACCCTCCGAGTGTTAAGCGTCGCGTAATCGACGCACAACACACCCGCCGTGGTGTTATGCGTCGCTTTTGCGACACACAAACATCGTTTACGGCGAAGGCTCTGGGACTGACTGAATCAGATTGAACTGGATCGAGATTGGTATCGTTGTTTTCGGCAGATTCTAAGCTTTCTCCTGATGTCTGTTTCTAGACGCTTTTCATTTTAGTTCCGAAAATATTGTAGCAGACAGCTGACGTGCGTATTTGTAAACAACTTGGTTAACCTCGCACCGATGACTGATGTGTTTTATTACGTTTATCATTGTTTTAGTGTTAAAAATAAAAAGTAGTGATATACATGGTGCATTATAAGAAGATTTAAGTGATTTTGAAGGGCTGGTTGATGATTCTGAAGAAGTAGGTAGTGATATTGATGTACATTGTCGGCTAGATTCCTAGCTATGGTTAGGCCATGCATTTTTAGCTAACGCTAAATGTATGAAATCTGTTTTTCACCCATAACTTATTTATTTGCAAATTTACTTCATTATATTTTTGTAATCCTTATAAAATTTAGAACAAAGTGGCTATTTTAAAATACTTGTAGACTTATAAATTATAAAAATTTATTGAGCGCAAAAATAATTTTTTTCGTTTATTTTATAATTTTTGAGAAATGTTAACCCCACAAAAATTGTTGAAAATTTTTTTGTAATGTTTTATATTGAACCCATAATTTCCCAAACTAAATAATATATAAAACAGTATACTTTACATTATTTTTAAGATTCTAAGATACATTTTAATAAAACCCTGCAATTGTGTAATAAATGGGCGGACATTAATACCATTACTATGGACACTTGGAGGGTTAAAGAACAGTATTTCAGAATTCGTAACAGTGAAGTTTTTTTAATGTGATTTATCATATTAAAATAATGTCAGGATAGTAATTATGTTTTGTTAACTTGTTCATAAAGATTTCTAGACAGCTAAAGGTAACTCTTAGTGGTATTACACTGAAACTATTCTCTACATTACAGCCTTCAGAAACATATTTCATAAACTGCATTTTAGCACCTTGAAATACAAAAATTTCCGGGGGGCTCCAGACCCCCCTATCCTGAGAGACTATTCCTTACCCCCCCCCCCCCCCAAACAAAATCCTGGCTACAACACTGCAGTGGTGTATCATGATTTATTATGGGGAATACCACTAAGTTACAATGTTACAAACACTTTTTAATTTTAATTTTTAAAACAAAAGAGGTTGTACCATTTGCTAAGAGTTCAAAGAACTATAATGTACTAAATTTTAATCAAAACTAGTACAGCATTGGGGGTTGTAGCAACTTGTTAAGGGTCAAAGGAAATATCAAATTTTAATTAAAATCGTTCGGCCCATTTTTGAGAAAATTTTATATTTTGTTTGCTTTATTTTATTAATTTTTATGGGAAAATAACCATTGAAAATTAAAATTTAAAAACAAATCAAAAACACCTGGAAGCATTATGGATTAGTACCCACAAACAAAATATCATCCAAATCGCACACACGCGCGCACACCCACACACACACACACACACATACACACATCACTTTGAAAACCACTTTATGGGTTCAGGAGGATGTAAATTGTATATAGGTAACTTCAACTCGAAAATGTTAAAAAACAATACTTTGTCCATATTAGGGGCACAAAGTAAAAGTTAAGACGTATCTCTTATTTAACTTGCCCAAGGAGTAGCCATTGATACTATCTGTGAGATTCTCAACAGTATGGTGCCAATTGTTAGTTGTGCAACATAACTTTTTGCCTTGATTATTTTAACATTGCAACATTCATTTACCTCCATTCATCATTGTCTTTCCTTCTACAGAAGGAACATATCTAAATGATTCAAAATCTTGGGCAAAAACCCTCTTCACATTTTAGTATATAGAAATATGAAAAAAACTATTGTTGTGACGATATGTTACGCTGATAGAAAGAATGAACTTGGGAATTTATTATCAATGTGCGACAATGGTAACAACTAAAACACTAAAAGCCAAATGTGCTCGATTAATTAAACAACTTACTGATAAAAAAAGCTCATCATCAAGTGGAGTTACTGGAATTGGGGAAGCAGTATTCTTCAATATTTTTTTTATAAAACAGTTGTCAGAAAAATGTTTTTCACAAATTTTTCGTAAAAGTAATTGATTTGGTGGTAGCTGGTAGAGAGACTCATCTTCACAATAACGGATCCACTGCTTGCAAAGGTCTTTGTCATGAGATGGGAAACAATAAAACTTAATAAATTCATCAACCATACTAGTACTAAAGCACCAATCAACAGAACAAAATTTTCCTTCAATAGCATTTATCTCCATCATCTGAAACAAAAAGATCAATTACATCTTTGAACTTAAGTTGTTTAAATTCATTCCCATTGTTTATAATGACTCATTAAAATTATATAAAATTGTTAAAATTCGGTTGTCATGAATCTACAACCAAGGGCAGATATCATATTAACTTATTAATCAAAATATGTATTAAGTGACATGTATTATGTGACCGTGGTACACATATATGTAGACATTCAATCTATATGAACGGGTACGCGTAATTGGCTAAATCCGGAACTTTGTAACCCCCTCTAAAATCCCGAAATCTACAAAGCCTGTTGTTGTTTCTTTTCGTCTATAAATGAAAGTTTCAGAAACTGAAGAAGGAGCTAGTAACTACAAAAATTCAGTGTGTTTATTTGTACATTTTCATCAATTTTTGTCATTAAAATAAGCTACAAAATCTTTAAAGTTATGGTTTAAGATCTGTGTTTCTCTGCAATTAAACAACAGTATATTAGACTGGGACGGTTGCGTTGTCCTGTAATCGAGCTACTAGGATTAATTATTACTGTATTGCACTGTGTATGTGATACTCCCTGGTGTGGATTAATGTCCGCACTAGTGAGTACTATAACTATGTGCAGTGCTATCCTGATAATTAAACCAATTTGATAATACCAAGGCAAAAATGTGGTTCCGATTCCACTATAAACTGTACAGTATGTCCCTTAGTTGCCATTAGCTGTATGGGCTATTAATTAACAGCTGTGTCTAAGGAATATGCCGGCCTTAGTCACCAACACGACTACAAGATCACGCTACTCATCCTACACTCATCTCCATTCATACTTGGCTTAAAATACCTACCTTTGTATGGTCACCATTTCAAAGAAAAAGTATTAGTTAATATGTTTAGAATATCAATGTCAAAGGAACAATTAATTATTTGCAATTGAGTTTCATCTACTTTAATACTTTCTTATTAAATGGCGACCATACAAAGTAGGTATTTTAAGTCCTTTGTCATTGTCATTATGCATAGGGCAAATTGTGCTTCAACAAATGTTGGTGCACAAAACAATATTCATATTTCTTTTGACAAAGCCTTTGAAATGAGGGGTCACTCAATAGGGGTTGCTATTTAAAAAAAATAAGTCACCAATACCCCCTACCCTGTAAGGGACGTTAAAAAATATTTTTGATGTAAAAACTGTGGATCCTTTGTTAAAAATCAATGCCACAAACAGAATATTTCTATCTATTTAGGTTAAAAAAATACACATTTGTTCCAATACTTAATTTACACACTGTATAATGTCAGTTCTTTTCAATATTTAGTAGTATTGAATATTTGGTAGTATACTTAATTTGGCCTTACAAGTAAATAAAGCCTATAACACACTCTAATAAAAAATGTTTGACTTACCCTTTTTATATGGCAGCTATTTTTTTCAATTACGACTTGTGTAGAAGGCTTAGGAATCTCAAGAAGAACATGCATTCCAGATGTTATATTAGTTCCCTTAATGTTCTCCAATGGTACATTACATTCTTCAGCATTTGACTCTCTTTTTTGTTTTTTCATGGCTGGTTCCTGTTAAATACAAAAACGGTTCATGTAAACAAAATTTATTTTGTAGCCTTCTATTAAAGCTACCAAAATTTAACTGTGTTGTCTTTGTGAAATCTCAAATGTACTCGACAGATATTATTTTTTAAATTTTAAGAAGAGGAATTAAGAAAACCTAAGGTTAATCCATCTCCTATAAACTTTTATTTAAAACTACTAGAGTAATTAAATGGGAAAAAATATATATGGCTGTCTCCATAACACAGACATAATACCAATTCGTAATCTCCACAATTGACCCAGTTAATAAATAATTGAGTTTGTTTCCTTTTTTCTAAGAAAATGTTCTATTATATTTCTCGGTTGGTTTTTCATAACATATGCAGTACCAGATATTTCATAATCATAACAGGGCTGATTGCTGCAACATATTACCATTGACTATTGGATACAGAAGTTGTTGTATTAATAATAGTCAAAGATATTACTTTGTTACAAATAAAAATAAACAATGCAAAATTGCGATTTCTATAGAAATTTCTGTTAATCTGATAACAAATTTTGCCCTAATTGGTCATTGTTCACTTGCTTTATTAGCAAGCTTTATTGATTTACACAAGCGTGGTTTTTAATCCTACTACTATCCTACTAATATTATAAATGAGAAAGTTTGGATGTATGGATGTATGTTTGTGACAAGTGAACGCCAAAAATACCGGTCGGATGGGATTGAAATTTGGTGTGATGATAGCTCACTTTCCCGATTAACATATAGACGCATTCTTATCTCAAAAGTCCTTTCGGGCTCCGCTCCATTGGCTCTGGAGTTTCCCATGTTAACCTTATAAAAGTAATCATATTTCAAAGGAATAAAAGCATTTTGTAAGCTGTTTCAAATACACAAGTTGGTTCTATGTTATTAAATATCATTAACCAATTATAAGGTTTACCAACAGGGTGCAGTGCTATTACTTTTTTTGTATTTATGACAACATCTAATTTCAACCAACTCGCAAAAAAATGCTGTTAAAAATAGTAGAATTGCAATAATACATTAACTACTAACAAATATATATGTGGTTTGGTTCATTGACTTAAAATATTGCAGTTGAGTTAATTGTATGCAAGTTAAACTCATTCTAAACACATTCAAATATTTAACCAAACTTCTCTCTGTTGGTTGTTTAAACTTTTAAGTGTAAAAATGAAGCTTTTCAGTTTAGTTTTTCGTTAAACTAAGTGTTCTTAAATGTCTAAAAGAAAATCAAACCTTTCTCAAAGCTCAAAAAGAGCAAGATGGATGAAGTTAGCGAGAATTCGAGAGGAATCGCCTCAAGCAGAACAGCACAGACATGAGCAGGCTGAGCGACAGGTAGTCCTCAGACAGTTAGAGGCTCCAGAAGAGACTGAAAATAGGCGGCAGCAAAATGCTCAGTATCTAGCCACCCAGCGAGCAACAGAAACTCCAGAAGAGACTGAAAATAGGCGGCAGCAACATGCTCAGTATCTAGCCACCCAGCGAGCAACAGAAACCCCAGAAGAGATTGAAAATAGACGACAGCAACATGCTCAGTATATGGTCTTACAACGAGCAGCAGAAACCCTAGAAGAGATTGAAGCTAGACGGCAACAACATTCTCAGTATCTAGCCACACAGCGAGCTGTGGAGACAAATGAAGAAAGGGAGGCACGTAGACAAGCAATTGCTGAGAGTGCAGCACGCAGACGTCAGCTTTTAGCAAGAAATATCTGGGCTGGATTTGAATGTGCAGCTTTCAACTATGATGCAGAATTTGAATACCACCTCCATTCGCAGCTAAAAACTGATAGAATGAATAAAGAATGTGTTTTCTGTGGAGCATTGAGGTGGAAAGAAGAACCAGAGGGGATGTGTTGTTCAAAAGGTAAGATATCTATTCCAAGGTTGGTGGAACCAGTAGAACCATTAAGAGAACTTTTCATAAATGATACAGAAGAATCACGTCAATTCCTCAGCAACATTAGAAAGTACAACTCTTGCTTTCACATGACGTCCTTTGAAGCCGATAAAGTTGTATCAATGCCTGGTTTTTATCCAACATATACGATTCAAGGACAAGTATACCACCGAATCGGATCATTGCTTCCTGAATTAAACAGCAAGCCTCAGTTTTTGCAACTGTATTTTTTGGGGGACGATGAAACTGAGGAACGTTGTCGGATTGTTCCAGGTGTTCAAAGAAGGACAATAGAAAAGATTCAACAGGTATTAAATGAAAACAACACTTTGGTCCAGGAGTTTAAAACCGCAATTGAGAACATGCCTGATGAAAGTTGTAAATTAGTAATACATCCTGATCGGGTTTTGCGTGGACAACATGAAAGGCGCTACAACGCACCTACTACCAACGAAATAGCGGCTGTTATAATTGCAGATGGTGAAAATACAACAAGTCGGGACATTGTCCTACGTAAACGAAACGACACGTTGATTCGAGTTTCTGATACTCATAGATTCTATGACGCTCTCCAGTATCCTGTAATTTTCTGGAATGGCCAGGAAGGTTATCATTTTGACATTCCACAAATTAACCCCGCTACTGGATGCCACACACCTAACAAAAGAGTATGGTGTATGTATTTTTATGCGTTTCACATTATGGTGCATCATAATGATTTTAATCTACTGCTGCGATGTAAGCAACTGCTTAACCAATTCTTGGTGGATATGTATGTGAAGGTGGAAAGCGAACGCTTAAGATTTATATCACTAAACCAGAAGAAACTGCGAGCAGAGAATTACATTCATCTTCAAGATGCTATAAGAGGTGAACCTAACGTGAATCCTAATAATTTGGGGAAAGTTGTGATCCTTCCATCTTCTTTTGTAAATAGTCCACGTTACCTCCATGAGTACACACAAGATGCTTTCACCTATGTACGTAAATATGGGCGACCTGATCTATTTATAACTTTAACATGCAATCCTGGTTGGGTTGAAATTACAGAGGAGCTTATGCCAGGCCAAAGACCAACTGATAGGCACGATCTTAAAGCCCCTGTATTTAAGATTAAAGTTCAAAAGTTAGTGTCTCTTCTTACAAAAGGAAGAATTTATGGCGAGGAACAATGTTTCATGTATAGTATCGAATGGCAAAAAACGTGGACTGCCTCACGTACACCTATTATTGTGGCTCAAAGAAAAATTACATGCGAACAATATTGACGACATAATAAGCGCTGAAATCCCAGATTCATCAACATATATGTGCCTGCACAACATAGTGCTTAAGAACATGGTAGGTCCCATAATCCAACGTCCCTATGTATGAGGAACAGAAAGTGCACTAAACAGTATCCCCCGAGCTCTAATAAAAGATATACAGACAAGTGACAATGGATATCCCGAGAACAGAAGGAGAGCACCTGAAGATGGAGGATACACTACCTCTATAAAAATTCGGGGTAGACAAGAAGAGATTATTATTGACAATGGCTGGATCGTCCCCTATTCACCTCTGTTAAAAATAAAATCTTCAAGGCTCATGTAAATGTAGAGTTTTGTAGTTCAGTGAAAGCCATTCAGTACATATGCAAGTATATTAATAAAAGGAGCGATCAGGCAGTTATCACCGTTGAGCCTGAAAACATTGTGCCAACGAAGCTGCATGGCGTCTTTTGGGACTGCCACTTCATGAGAGACATCCTACTGTCACGCACTTGGCAGTACACTTACCTAATGGTGAAATAGTCTACTATACGGATCAAAACTTTGAAGAGGGAATTACGACACCCCCAAAGACAACACTGACACATTTTTTCCATTTATGTGAAAATGACAATTTTGCAAAAACATTATTGTACGCCGAAACACCACAATACTACACTTGGAACCCAACTAGAAAAGAGTGGAAGCGTCGTGTTCAAGGGACGTCCATCGAGAACTGGCCGGGAGTGAAATCAAGAGATGCTCTGGGCCGAGTGTACACGGTGCATGTAAGTAATTTTGAATGCTTCTGCTTGCACATGCTTCTAAATAAGGTTAGAGGACCAACAAGCTTTATAATGACCTCAAGAAAGTGAATGGACAAGAGTATTCAACATTCAGAGAGGCGTGTGAGGTGTTAGGGTTGATGGAGCATGACAATCATTGGGATGACACAATGGAAGAAGCGGTTCTATGTCGCTCACCAGCAAAACTCAGAGAACTTTTTGCTATTATGATCAGTACTTGCGGCCTATCTAATCCCCTTCAGATGTGGAATAAATACAAAACAGCACTAACAGAAGATATAGCCCATATGTTTCAAGAGGTTGATGAGCTTATAGAAGGCCGCATTCATAACGAAGGACTTAAGATAATAGAAGACGAAGTTTCTTCAATAGCAGGGAGGAAACTATCCGATTTTTGATTACCTATGCCACAAAGAGATGAGCAACTTTGTAATGACGTTATAAGAGAACTTAACAACTACGATAGGGTGGATTTAGAAACTCAAGTTCGAGAATCAGTCTCCAAGCTATTGCCTGATCAAAGGGAAATATTTATAAAGATAGTACAAAAAGTAGAAACTGAAGACGGGGGTATCTATTTCATTGATGCACCATGAGGAACTGGAAAAACGTTTCTATTGAACTTAATTTTGGCACAAGTTCGAAAAGATGGCAATATTGCTATTGCTATAGCTGTTGCTTCATCAGGTATAGCTGCAACTTTACTAACTGGGGGACGCACTGCACATTCTGTATTTAAACTGCCTCTTAACCTAACAAAGGAAGAAATGCCTACATGTAATATTAGTAAAGGTAGTGAACGGAGTGTAATTTTGGAGTGGTGCAAACTCGTTGTGTGGGACGAGTGCACAATGTCGCACAAACGTGCAGTGGAAGCAGTGGACAGAACTCTACAAGATATTCGGGGCAACTCGACTTTGATGGGTGGTGTAGTTGTTTTGTTGGCTGGTGATTTTAGGCAAACATTGCCTGTTATTGAGAGAGGAACCCCCGCAGATGAAATTGGTTTGTGTTTAAAATCATCTTGTTTGTGGGCCAAGACAGAAAAATTGTACCTTAGAACCAACATGTGAGTTCAACTTTTCAATGATGAAGACGCTGGCACATTTGCCCAAAATCTATTGACAATTGGAGAAGATCAAATTAAAACCGATTCGGAAGGCAAAATTGCTCTAACAAGTTAATTCTGTCACCCTATGAGCTCTGAAGATGAACTAATTAGCAAAGTTTTCCCTGACCTCCAAAAAAATATCATGAACGATAAGTGGGTGTGTGAAAGAGCAATATTGGCTCCAAAAAATGAAACAGTTTCCAGGTTAAACAATAAAATCATCCAGAGATTAGACGGCAACACCTATGTCTACCGATCAATTGATACTGCCATCACAGATGATGATACTGTTAACTATCCACAAGAGTTTTTAAACTCTTTGGAATTAGCTGGTGTACCACAACACCAGCTGGTGGTAAAGGCGGGAGCTCCAGTGATCCTAATGAGAAATTTAGAAGCACCAAGACTGTGCAATGGAACCAGGTTGATCGTAACAGAATTAGGCAGAAACATCATAAAGCATCATCAAGTTCTCCATTGAAGATTTTCTGTTCAAATAAAAATGTATTAAAAAGAAAAAGGATTATTTTATTTTATTTTATGTTATTTATTTGTTTTAGTTTTCACTTTTATTTTACGCGGGCAAAGCCGCGGGTACAAGCTAGTCTTCAATATAATAAATTACATCTAATTTATTCAATTACAACAGAAAAATTTGTTAAATGGAATAAGTCATCCAACCCCAAAGGGTTAATAAGCATTTATACTAAAGGTTATGTTGTATACACATAAATGTTGTTTATTGATTTTTCCTACAGTATGGGCAACGAGAGTATGCAGTTGGCAGCAGCCAATACTAAGACTAGACTAGCACGACGCTGCAACATTGGCCGTTGACTACCACTCAGCCGTCATCGCAGGCTGTGGCGACCGTAATTAAAATTTACTAAACAATATTTTTAAATCAACTGGTATAAATTTCCACCGTGGAGACAAATTTGTCAAGCCTAAGTATATAATATTAATATATTACAGAAATTAACAGAGCAAAACGTGATAGTATTGTACTTAAAATATATTAATGTACCGGTAATCATTTATTTATCAATTATTAGATTTGGAAAAAATGCTCGGTCCTTGTTGGTTCTTTCAATGTTACGTGGTAAATAGGCTTCACCCTCAACTGCACTCTCTGGTGGTCCATATTTTAGTTTAGTTAACTGACTGGGAATCACTAATTTACTGTAAATGACCAATTTAAAAGAGATTTTATAAATAAAATTTTAAACTGGAAATGTGACTTACAAAGCTCAATACTTCTACTGTAGTTGGCTCTACCTCAGCGCTTTCTATATATATCTCCATTTCTTCTTGATTGTTGAACATATCAACAGCATTATTTACCACAGCTTTTGCATGATTTTGAGAAATGGTGCTAGTGGGTAGAGCTAATTCTTTTCCCCCATATACCAACGGCTCATTTGCTGGAAGCTCACATGCTAATGGCTCATTTGCTGGAAGCTCACATGCTAATGGCTCACTTGCTGACAGCTCACATGATAACAGTTCATTTGGTGGCAGAAGCTCACATATTAATGGCTCAGTTGCTGGCAGCTCACATACTAATGGCTCACTTGCTGGCAGCTCAGATACTAATGGCCCATTTGCTGGCAGCTCACATATTAATGGCCCATTTGCTGGCAGCTCACATATTAATGGCCCATTTGCTGGCAGCTCACATATTAATGGCTCAGTTGCTGGCAGCTCACATACTAATGGCTCACTTGCTGGCAGCTCAGATACTAATGGCTCATTTGCTGCCTGCTCACATAATAATGGCTCACTTTCTGTTTGCTCACATACTAATGGCTCACTTGCTGCTTGCTCACATACTAATGGCTCACTTGCTGTCTGCTCACGTAATAATGGATCACTTGCTGGCAGCTCACCTACTAATGGCTCATTTGCTGTCTGCTCACATAATAAGGGCTCAGTTGCTGGCAGCTCACTTACTGTCTGCTCACATAATAAGGGCTTACTTGATGGAAGCTCACTTAATAACGGCTCACTCGCTGACGGCTCACCTCCCCCTTCCTGCAAAGACATACACACCTGAAAACAAATATTCAGTACGGTAAAATAATAAGCCACGTCACTTTGAGCCCCAAAGACCAATATAGCTGTCATAAACAGTGGTAGAAGGGTGGATTATTTGAGCCCTTGAGATCCATAGTGGCAAAGGTCTTTTTTTTAAACTCAAGTATTTTGTACCAATGGATAACACTTTTTTAGTTCTATTTGTGGGCAAAGTGGTATAAGTCAATTGCAATCACCTTCAGAGGAGATTTCAGAGGGAATTTTTTTTTTCTCCCAAACAATCAGCTGGTATCTTCGGCAATTTCATTTAAAAGTATTAAAGTATTAAGTATTAAAGTATTAAGTATTAAGTAAAGTATTAAAGTACAGTGGTTCAAGTCAGACTTGTACCACTGCTGCAAACAACATTAGTTCAGTCAGTGACTAGTACCCAGGCCGAGTGTAGGAGTTTTGCCGACGGGTATCAGGTAGAAAGGGTCCCCATCCATGAATTCCACATACTGCGGAGTTTTGCCAACGGTTGTGGGTTGCGCGAGAGGGAGAGGGGGAGAGAGAGAGATTACATGTGACCGTGAGGGTGGCTTCCGCTAGGGGTGGACAAACCAGGCAGGATGCTGACTGTGTTCAAAGTAATGGAGTTATGCACCTCTGACTGTGAAAGGAAATGTATTGAATTTTTAACCTAACCTAACCTAACCTAACCTAACCCACTGCGACAAGCGCATAACTGCCAAGCGTAGACAACCTTGACAATCGCTCTCCCTCCTCCCTCCCTCCGTCACACTCTTTCTCCCACCACCACCGTTGGCAAATCTCCGCTTCAAGAGGTGGCCGAAGGCATCCCCCCATCTACCTGACACCCGTTGGCAAAACTCCGGTTCCCACCCAGGCCGCCTTTAACTCCAGGCCGCGGCCTTCGAAGTGGCAACGTCGCAAGTAGGGTTGTAACAGCTGTTTTGTTTGAAAGCAGCTAACGGTATTTAAGTGTATTTACGAAAGCTTGGTTATTTTCAATTTATATTGTTTTGGTTTTCAATTCCGTATGTTTTATTTTCAATATTTTATTGAATTTATGTTCATAAATTTAAAATTAAATTGATAAAGTGCAAATTAATGAGCTGATGTCACCTGTCTGTCATGTTATCTTATGGGACGTCTGACACTAAACAAACCTACTTGCGACGTTGCCAATTGTTAAAGGCGGCCGTGCTTGTACTACTCTGCCACTTCATAGACTGTGACACAAAGTATGGATAAACAAAGTTAAGGTTGTTGTTTTTCTGAAGTTTTCAGATCACGATTTTTTAAATCAGTGGCTGTGGTTTGTCAGAGAAATACCCTTAAAAATGCTATACAATGAATGCCTAAATTAAGAAATGGAATTTTGTGAAATCGACATCAGTAAAAAGAAAACGTGAAATAGGCCTACAGTACATTTAAAGACAATTTCACTCCAGCCTTTGTATACTAGTCAGGGCAGTACAGAGCAAAATAAAACAAGATTATGTTAGATTTGTTGCCCTACATGCCCCCGGTCAAACATGAGTTCTACAAGATTGTTGATACGCCAATTGCAACAAAGGAGCGTCCCGTTTCAGGCTCAGAAGATGACTAGGAGGATGAAGATTAATAAATTTATAAGGCCTACAGTTGATGTAGCTTAAATTATGCTTTAAGTCGATAAAAGTTAAATTTTGTATTCATTTGATAAAAAAATATTTTACTAATTTACCTAGCAGTTGCATGAAAATATTGTCAAGACAGAGTGGTATAAGTCATTTCAACCCCTACAGAACCACATCATACAACAAATTTCTACTAATCTATATTTATAAAAGAGGAAGTTTGTATATATATATATATATTTGAACGTTATGGACTCACAAACCGCTTGACAGATTGTAATGAAACTTTCAGGCATTATTAAGCATTATTCAAGGATGGTTTGTGTGAAGTTTGGTGCAAATCCGTCAAAAGGGCTCCGCCCGTGTTTTATTTTACCAAATCATATGTTTTCTTGTAATTTTTTTTGTGTTTTTCATCATTACGAATTAGCATTGAATATATAACACCACAAATACTAGACAAATGTTTTTTTTTTCTAGTATTTGTGTATAACACTATTTTGTTATATATAATATTGTGTTGTATTCAACATTGAATATAATGTAGTAGTGTCATACAATGTGGCAGTAGTCTAAAACATTTCATAGTAAGTACCATCATAGATTAAACATACGAGTATGTTTAATCTATGGTACCATTTAATCGAAAAACAGTAAAGCAGTAAATACTTGATACGAGCCCTTGCTCAAATCCATCTGTGGGTTCGTCCTAACTCGCGTCGTGGGAACGAGGCTAGACGAGTGTGGCCACGGTCAAACTGTTCCATGTCGGTCGCATGTGAAAACGGAAAACCCAAACTCGCTGGTTACAGTTCGGACAAAGTTTCTGTGTGCGCGACCAGATCTGGTCGGGTTTTTGGCGAGGGTGTTGGCGGGGGTACTTTTGTGAAAACATTTGTGTCTAGCTACTCACTCACCCAACTACTAGTTGGGCCCAATACTAGTTGGGCTAGCGACCTGTCCGCGCGCACAGAAGTTTTGGCCGAACTGTACAAGTGTGGCCCTGGTCTAACGGGCAATACATTTTTTAGGTAACCATTTATAAATAGTTTTACTATAATACTGTACTTGTTTTGCAGCTCTTACATTTTATGTTTGATATCATTAAAACACTCTGATTTATATTATATATATATATCTGATCATATCTCAATCGTGGCAAGATTCATGATGACTTGCGTATCGCGGCAAAAGCCGTGATGATTTCTTGTGATTGCGGTGACGTCCTGTATTCGTGATAGTTTGCTGCGGCCGCGATTTCCCACAAAACGAGAGAGGCTATTCGGTAAGCGTCTAGTAAATTTTTTAAGTTATCAAGAAAAACCATAGTCCGAGGGGTTCCCATACGGGTTCAGTAGTTTAGTGCTTGGGTTTAGTGTATGTCATTAAAGTGTTATAAAATCTTTACAACTTAAGCTATATGTCATTTTGTGCTGTTTTGGTTAAATATATGTAAATACAATCTTGTCAATTTATTTGTAACTATTTATTTTCCACTAAGGCTACTTAGATGAGAGATTTTCAATTATATAAAACATAAATAGGAGCTGCAACAAAGGTATTATATTTAAAACTACTAGTGTACCTGTTGCTCGAATTTGAGCAATTGCGAAGCATTACAGGCGACTCACAAAGATTATGGAAATACTCACGATCTACACAACAGTTAGATATAATCAAAATCTTTTGTAAATATCTTATCTTTTCTCAAAAAGCTGATCTTGTTTTTTAGTGTTTCTAAAAATTTTTCCCTCTCATAGCCGCATTAGGTTGTCTATAATAACGATTACAAATGAAAAAAAAAACATTATTATTATATGACTATTTCTATGTTTCCATTGTTTGCAAATCGGTTATTTCAATGATTGCTCAAGAAATGTAGCATATTGTTAATTCAGTATTATTTTTAGCCTATATCAAATTGTCCAGGATTTCTCGCTTTTTTCCATTGTAATAATTTCACCAACCCAAGTTTCGTCTACAGATGCAATACGCCAAAGAATATCACCTACGTACAATCTCCAAGAAGTGGTAAAAAAAGGCAGAAACCAAGCCATACAATAGATATAAGTTAACTCCATAAAAAATAATTAAAAGAGTTACTGTGATATTAGGATTTTCCACTGATTTGGTAATAGAACATTATAGGCTATTGCAAAACATGACACGATTCAGAATAAAATCGATTTTAAAATCAGAAAACCCCATTGCAAATACTGTACTTCATTTTGAAAAATTCAATAAATTAAAATTTTAATATTAACAGCTGTTTCATTAAAAAGTAGTGTAGAATTATGCCATAGATAAAACATACTCCCTTAGTAGATTTCTCATCCTTATGGAACAGCTGAAGACAATTTTATTGTTAATTCTGTACGGTTTTCTGTAGAGGTCGTGTTTTGTTTACAATTTGTTTCCCGTTATTACAGCCATTTAAAACCTCGTTTAACCAAATAATACGATCTAATCATAAACAATAACTTGTCCCCTAGTTATATAACCAAACAGTAAAGCACAAATCAAGAAATTAACCCTAAAATAATAGAAACAAAGTTTCGTCGACACTAGTGCCCAGTGTGGCGTACATGAACTAGACACGAAAAACGTGCTTCAAAATTTACAATGGGATGAGACATGATGGTTTGTTTGCATATGGTAAACAAATTTGAAGAGGCAACTTTAAAGGCTTCTGGGGCAGAGCCCCAAGGGAATTTACCTCGTTCCTCTTTTGATGGCTCATCTATAGACCAAGACCTTTCTTTAGAGACCCCTACCAAGTCTCTACGCCCAGCCGTTCTCTCAAATTAGCTGGGACAAAAACCCAGTTTTTCCTCCATAAGAATAACATGGGATGGGAATTCAAAGGCCACTGGGGCAGAGCCCCAAGGGAATTTACCACGTTTCTCTTTTGATGGCTCATCTACAGACCAAGACCTTTCTTTAGACACCCCTACCGAGTTTCTACGCCCAGCCGTTCTCTCAATTTAGCTATGACAAAGAAAAACTGTTTCAAATTAATATATAGATTTGCATGTGGTCACCTAAAAATATATTGCCTGTTAAGGCAGCCACAGTTACGATATTTACTGCTTTACGGTTTTTCAATTAAAAGGTACTTGCTATCAAAATGCTATAATACTAATACTACCACCACTGAATATACTGTATAACACTATGACTATATTCAATATTGAATACAACACTATATTGGATATAAAACGTTAGTTACATATTCAATGCTAATTTGTAATGATTGTCATTCAAAAGTCTTTGGAAAATTACAAGAAAACATATGATTTGGTAAAATAAAACACGTTTTGCTCGCACTGACGTCACTATGCACACACCTTCTTTCATACGCCTTGATGTTCA